GCCTTCGCCTTCGCCTTCGCCTTTACTTTCATGAGCAGCGTGCAGTGTTTACTTTTTAATTATTCAGTTATTTTAAATTTTAATTTCTCAGTTAATTAACGCGATTATGTCATTATTTAGGAGACTTGTCGTTAACCTCATGTTTGATTGGCCTGGATTTTTTTTGTCAAGTCATAGAGTGAGCAGCGATGGCGATTCTTGTTTGTTCTTCATCATATAAAAGTAAGTACGAATGAAAAGTAATAAGTGAGATTATCTATACTAAAAACCGACAGATGAACTTATCGAAATGTATAAGTATAGATCGAATGTGTTGGGGATTGCCAACGTATTCGTCTTGCGAACCTAACTTATTTTATTTAATAAATGATGCACTACATACTTATAAATCACCTATATAAATGTGTATACTAACAGGGTGGTATTTTGAACAAGGGACATATTCAAGGAGCCGATGTTGGTGCTCAATTACAACAACTGTTTCCATGGGACCACAAATAGCTACAAGCAGCATTCTATCCTCAATCTTTTTCTTTTACTACAAACTATAAACACTATTATAATGACATTTAATTATTCATTACTCCAATAACACTAATCACATATCGTCTATAATTGGTCGCATTAAGTAACGAGCTCCATTATGACGATTCCCTCGATTCTAACAAGAACACTAATAACATATTTATTAATTGTTCATCATTAGTTCCCAGTTCACTACATATTATTTTATAAACTAGAATGTACCGAGACATTAATTTAGCGCTTGACTCGTCGTTGATACTGACAGTAGTCTGTCGTCAGTCGGTGTTTGCTATCAAGCCTGTGCGCGGGATGCATATCACAGTGACTTCTACAGTATAATCAAGAGCAATTGTATACTAAAGATATTGTGTCTACGAGTTCCTAAATAACAACGTTCGAAATTTTTGATACAATTTTAAATTTTACAAATTATGTACGAGGTAATGGCGCTGGACGCTAGATTTTCGTAACGATAACGCGGCAGCTTCATTGGAGACTAAGAACGGTGATGGTGTCTACAGAAGTAAAGGTAGATGAACGCTGTGGTGGCCGTCACCGCAGTAGGCATTCAGGAGCTGAGACAGGTCTCGGAGCGCGCTCTGAAAGAGCTGGTAAATCTACACAATATACAAATGTGTATGGTGGAACTGTTATGGTAAAACAAAAAGTTCTAGTTATGCAAAAAAAAAAAATATTTTCTAGTTGATATCTGTAATATTATGTAACTAGTTATGGATGTAACCTATTTTTATTGTTTTGACGAGTTTAACGTAAATAATAAGTTTCTTTGACAAGACAGATTAAACGAAAAATAAAGAAAGTGATTTATTTGGAGTTAAAATCCTTCACGTTAGTTTTGGCTGAGCAATAACAGCTCGGTGTAAAATCATCAACATCATCCTTATCAGCTTATAAATCCTTATTGGTCTCCTCACTCACATGGAGGTTTGAACATAACTCACCAGCACCACACTATACTCGGAATTTTAATTCCATTCCAGATTTGACAATTTCAGTGTTGCAACGTTATGACACGTAATAAATAGTGACGTTGCGAAATTATTCGATATGGAAATCGAATATTTCTGAATCGATTCCTCTCGTTTATAAATTTACTCTCGTAAACTAAGTTTATCAGGAAATAAAATATTTCTGAACCGATAATTTAGTTTTGACAATTAATTAACGATCTGAGACTTTTCTTTTGTAATTGTGTGTAAAATTAATAAAAATGTGATCATGAAGGAACGTGACAAATAAAACAGACATTTTATAAATTGTCGCCGTCATCGCTATCGCTATCGCCGTTACTCTATGTAACATTTATTATGATTTGTGTCTTTGATACCTATTTATTGTCAATTAACATATCTAGCTTACTCATTTTTGTCTCTTCTTTGAAAACATGGGATACACATTTAGACCATTCGGTAGCCGTAATTTTTTTAATGGCTTCCTGAAACTGATTCACTGATTGTTTTTCGATTTTTGTGTTCATCACTACACTGTTATATGTGGTATCATTATTTCACAAAATGACAGTGGTCAATGTCAAATCAGGAATCGAATTAAAAGTCTGACTATAGTTGGGCCAAAACTAATATATGTACCATACCACACAGATTATACACAGGTGCACGAAGAATGTGATCTTAAGATGGTTTCATTTCTATCTTACTTTTGAGCGAAGGAAACCATAAAAAGAAAATTCAATGTGCATTAATGTCCATATTTGCTACCTACTCGCTAATGAATGATTGCAAAATGTATGTCTAGGTATTTAACTGTCTTATCAATAAAATTAAATAAATTATTCGTAAGTTATTTCTTTATTATAGTAAACAAAACAACTGCTTTATATTTATTTACTTGTTGACACCTCTCCTCGTTCAATGGGCGTTATCGTACTTCCACCTCTCGCTGATTGGTCCTTTAATACATAAGATTTTGATCTTTTGTCCCACGGTAACAAAGCATTGTCAGCTATTGTCTAAGTGTTAGTAGGTAGGTATAGAACACATGTTCTGCGTAAGAGTAATAATAATTATGTAAATATTATTATTACAATAGTGTAGGTAGCTGCATCTTTGTTCTCTGCCGACACCACACGGATTAGCAGCTAGACAATAGAGTTTACGACAGGGGTTTATGAAAATAAGATTTTTCTTAATGACACAAAAACATTCGACGATATTTTAAATCAGACTATTGTGTTACACCAACACGTAAGCTTACAATAAAATACCACTGATTTGTTAGCATGGGACAAAACATCAAGTTGTCAGATAAAGGCTTAAGAATTATGAATCTCAAACATAAAAATAATTGCATGTGGTAATTATAATAATGATTCGTCGTAAGGAAAACGTAAAGCTAAAAAACAAAAGAAGATACTATTACCTGCTAATACACTTTGTTAGCATGGGACAAAATACCAAGGTGTTATCAGTAGACACTTAGAACTTAAGCGACCATTCGGCTTTAGTTAGAAGCTTGACAATGTGAAAGAAAAGCTGCGGTAGGTAAAAATTGACTAATTTTAAAACTTGTCAAAAACAATAAGTACTACCTGCATTACGGATACTCTTCCCACACCAAACTTTATCTCTGTCAATTAGTAACTCATATCTCATTTGCTGAGGAGTTAGTACTGGACTTGTCGCAGTCGTGAACAGTCTTCCATCGCAAGTCAGTCATTTCTATCAAATCTAATATCTGAGCTTATAGAAGATACATTCGTCATCATGCCTCATAGCAATATTGGGCAGAATTTCAATAAGTCTGGAAAAACTGGTCGCGCCTCTGAAGAAGATAAAATAAAATATGGTCGCACGGATAAAGCTTCTTCTAAATCAAAGAAGAATTCAAGAAGAAATAAAGGCATAAACAATATTATGTATAGGAAGATTCACCCCCAGAAACATACCATAAGTAACTCGAACTTGGAGTCTTCTAAAACCATACGTATTACATTTCCAAACGAAGAAATGCAGAAGGAATTGGATATGGCGTACAAAGGGGCAATGGATCTTCTTGCAATAATTAATGAAGATGGTGTTGACACGAGTAAAATCAAAAACGAAGACTTTCATTTTAAAGTCCCCAAAGGCAAAAGATTGTCATGGACAAAAAATGGAATAGATAAAGAATTGGATTTGGCGTATGAAGGGGCAATGAATCTCTTAGAAAATATTAATGAGAAGGCTGTGGACACAAACCAGGGTGAAAGTGCATCCTGTGTCACGAATCATATCCCTAGTCAAGGAGGAGCTGAAGTAAAGGGACGTGAAACGTAGCAAAAATTTGCCATACAATCTGTTCTAGGGGTCCCAATAAGCAGTTAGAGTCGCACAGGAATTTAGTAGCCCTCAACCCCGAACATTCTAGGAAAGAACGAGATTTAATATACCAAGGCGTAATGGAGGTTACGAAAAATATAAATAAAGGTGATGTTAGTAAAAGTCAAGGTCTTAAGAGGGGCTGAAGGAAGGAGAGCATCCTATGTCTACAGAGTAGATAAATGAAAAGATGAAGCATATGCGTGCACGCGTTGTACCGCATAAATAAAACAAACGGCCCTTTTCAGGGCCACAATATGATTCGTCGATAAACATTAGTTTATATGAAAGTTTCTGGTTAACAGATTAATGGTCAAAAACGTAATTTACCTTGTTCATGTATGAAATATTATCAGGAACGCAACTTTAACCAAAAGTCTCTGGCAAAATACAGTATGAGTAACCCGACATAGTAGATATACTCAACTTTATTAAATGAATAATTTATTGATCTAACTAACATTTAAAAAACTGAAAATATGAGAAATACAAATAAGAAGAATACGGAAACGTCACTCACACAACGAATCACGATGCAAGCGTTGATTCGCCGTGTTAGTATGTACGCGAGAGATAGAGAAAGTTTGTGAGTGTATATAAAAATAAAACCATGGAAATGCAGGTTTCAAATCTTTTTTATTTCGAGCATAAGAACATGGTCAATTTAATGCAATACGCTTGATTATTCTTTTGGATATGGAAGACAGAGGAGTTAGCGATAGCGTGACGGGTGACAGGACAGAATGGAAGAAAAAAACATATTGCGCTGACCCCAAATAAAACGGGACAAGGGCAGGAAGATGATGATGACTTGATTATTCTTTTGAGGTTTTCATAATACATCATTAAGAGTTAGCACTGAACTCTTTGCTCAGTCAGCAAAATACCATCTCGGTAAAAGTACACATAGAATATTGAACTAGACCGTTACTTTAGTAAAATAAATTCAATAGTTATTTATAAACTTAGCTTTATATTTAATCAGCCGGGGTTGCGGATCAAATGCAATGACACTTCGCGGCTCCGGCCTGGAGCAGGAAAAAGAACAGGGTGGTTTTTAATCAATTAGAGTCTGACACTCTCGAGTCTCACCTTTGACTGTGTCGTAATCCGTATTTTGTATCTTAACCAAGGCACCTTGCTGAGGAAGCTTTCAAGCTATTACTTAGAAATCATTTGAAAACTTAATAAAGTACAATTTCCAATCACGATTCTTTGGAAAATATTAATGGACCATCAATTTATCAAATGCCATGAAAAAACGCAATGGCACACTAACAAATACGCTGTAGCTACTACTAAATGGCCTATCATAACTGGGAAGCCAATTTTGAAGAATTGCATGAATGTTATTTTATAACCATGTTGTTCTGCCAATCCGACGCACACTACGTTTGAGCTAGCACCGATTAGTGTGCCATTACCTGTGAAAGAGAACAAAATAAGAATATATTTTCAGTTAAACAATGAAACAATGAATTTATTTTTGTAAATAGGCCATAAAACGGCACTTTTACACGTCAATTTATATGTAAAAAACTAGATGAAGCCGGCATTTCCTATCTGACTACTCTGAGAAGAAATGCCGAAACAAACTCAGAGGTCAGTCTCTTTTCAAGTCCAGACAATGTAAAAATAACATAATGTGAGAGAACCGTGCAAGTTGATTCTGTAGTGGTCTTTTGATGAAAGAACCACACCAGTTTAAGTGGACCCGTTCTGAAGACAGGCACGCAAGTGTCAGTTTGCAACCAGCATAGCAAGTGCTACTGAGTTGTCCGACGAACAATACCGATCTAAAGAACATTTGGTTGGGTCGCGCAAGTACTCAAACTGTCAGAACGCAGATAACTGTTAGTCCAAAAGCGCGGCAAGTCTCCCACGGTCCTTACACTAACAAAATAATAATAATGTCAATAAATAACTATAAAAATAATAAATAAAATCAAAAATGTCAAATAAAAATAAAAATGTCACAACAGGTGATAATGTCATTGTTAAAAATTCTTAACATACCTCGGCCGGTCAGTCAGTTTGACACAACACGACTCACTTAGAAAACGAATAATTAATCGTTGATTTGTCACCTAGAAATCACTTTGTTGTACTAAAAAGACACATTTGCTCACCTCCCAAACAGACACCGAAGGACAGTGCCCATATAAGCGGCTCAATGGGCAGGTTAAGCGTAGGATGAGTGCCCAGTGACGTCACGACTCTAACCATCATAGTTGTCAGAGGAACATTGTCCACAAACGCTGATGTAATGCCTGACACCTGCAATTTAGACAAAGAAATCTAAATTCACACTCACTCACAAACACACCCTTCTTTTAACATTAGCTCAAATACGATGCGTAACTTACCCAGACCATTAGGATAAGGGCTACAGCCAGACGATCGCTCTCATCTACTCGAAGTATTAAAGCTTCTGTCCAACCTCCGATGTAGCCAATCAGACCTAACTTAGACAAAGCCTAGAAAAAAACGGAATAGGACATAAGTTGAAGGGTATAATTTGGGTGCCTTTAATCGGATACTACCAGGCTAGACAGTAGCTCTCGTGGCTATAAGTAACCCATTAACTCGGCCTTAAAGAAACCCAAGATTCTGGCCCCGGAACAAAATCCAACTTCTTAGCAGCTTGCACTAGCAAAGTCGAAGCAAAACGCTTTACGCAAGCATTAATACCTCCATTAGCACGAAGAGTGCGGCAAAGAAGAGTAGTGTAGACCACTCAACCCTGTGCAGCACTGACTCCAGATCCTCACGGTCTGCCAGCGTCAGCAGCAGCAACGCGCCCAGTAAAGCCGTCCAGCCCAGGGATACTCGGTCTGACCAAGGAAACCAACGTCACATTCGTCTGCTGCTGATCAAAGTCCTTCAATTTTAGGTATAGGTTTAAGGCCCCGGCTGCGCTAGGGCAGAACTCATTTTCAACCGCGTAATTTTATGAACCAAGAGACCCAATACAAGTAGCCCCACTTAAAACCAGCTCTTGCGCAGTATTTGAGCTTATAGCAAACAATAGATCTCGCTTATGAGTATATAAATATTTTATAAACATAGTCAAAGCTTAGAAGTCAATGTATGCACAAATACAAAAGATGTGTAGTAGAAGAGAATATAAACAAGAAAACTACATTAAAAAGTGATGACAGCGTACACAATGTTTAATGTATTAATATGTCCTAATCCCCGTGCTTGACGGCTCGCTTGAAGATCGAAGGTCACCGAAAGTTGTAAATTATAAGTGAAACCGAAACAATATACAAACTAATACAAAACTGTGTGTTTGATATGTGAATATGGATTAAATTAATACTTCCAGCCTATCAAGAGTCATAGAATACAACCCCTTAGAATAATAAACAAATGTAACGTTTTCTTTTTTTATCAGTCGTAATTAATATTCTTTTATGATACGGAGCAACCACTACAAGATTTCACAGAAGAAAATTGTATAGCTATGTCAACACACAATTCCACATTATTATCATTTAAATCGATTCTCTGTTATGGGTTTTGCAAATTTTATCATTACAATAATTTGTATAGTCCGTATAAGAAATATGTATTATTTTCTAAGAAATTGCTAATGTATTGAATATCGAAACAATAAAGGGCTAATGTTCAAATCTATTTCTAAATGCATTGTTTTATGGTTCCCACAGCAGGTAAAGCGTCTCTCCCCACTCCAACATTTTCTTTTGTCAAAGTCGATCAGTCAAATATCATTTGTCGAAAAGTTAGTGCTTAACTAATCGTTGAGACGAACAGTCATTTGGCGCAAGTGGTGCAAGTGTAACTCCGAACAATATTTTAAAGTAATTTGTTTAAATATCAATATGGGTTACAAGATTGAAATGTCTTCCGACATTGAAATACGTAGTGGTAGCGGAGTTGACCGTAGATACACTCCAATTGGAAAACCTAGTAGCGGTCCTGGAGCACGGGCTGGTGACAGATTTAGACGTGGCCGCATGAGGAGCATTTTGAGTTCAAGACATCTGAGTGGTGTAACTAAAACCACCAACAATTCATGGAGCTGTGTTAACAGCGCATGGATACATGCGGCGAAAAAAGATGACGCGTGGGTAGTATCAACGATGGAGAGAAGTTTTGGAGAAAAAAATATTTTTAATGAATGTCAATCTGAAGATCAATCCTTTGGTAGTTCTACTCGCAGCTGTGATCATGGAGTGTTAGAAACAGATCGTGAAGGTAGTCCTCATGAAGAACTACTAGCTTATATTAAAAAAATACGCGCAAAGAGCAAAACACTGCTTTATGACGTGAAACAATTCAGATTAGATTTAAGGACCTATCCATTTTGAATGTTGGGCATTGTTTTTATGTACTTTTTGTATTTTGTCTAGTCAAGAAATTTTCATTTGATAAATAAATAGAATATCTTTTTTTTTGTAAAAACAATATTTTATTTGCTGCACAACAAACCCTAACACTTCAACAATAAACTTTTATGACTAAAATTTACTCTCCATACATTACACCAAGCCTACAAGTTACGTAAAGTAGTAAGTACAAACGAAAATAATTATTATCATAGAAATAAACACGTGCAATCTGTTCAAAACTGCGTTGGTCCCATGAAACGCCTTGAGGAACTCTTTTTCCTTATGAAGTCATAATATTAGTAAAAATATTTGCTCATCATTATGTATCGTTCTTGGGCTGGTTAAATAAAATGTTTGAATTGTTAATGAATAAAATTTTATAACGAAACGGATTTTTCCTGTTACAATAACCACTATCTTAACTTTTTGATGATATAAATAGAAAATAAACAAAATAGAAGTCATGAAGGTGTTCATGACAAACTTTAGTGAATAAGTTTCAATTGATGACTAATTGATTCAAAAGAGCACAACTTATGGAAAAGCCACTCTTTAAAGAGGAAGGCAGTTTTGGACCTGGTTATTGAAGATAATTCTACTAAAATTATCATCCAAGCGAAACTCCGAACAACGCCTAAGTCAAAGCGTGAAATATATATTCTTTAACACCACTTTAACGACACTACGCATGACAGTAAAGACAGAACGCAAGCGAAAGCAACTTTTTATCAAACTCAAACAAATTAATGAATTAATTACAAAGTATATACATTTGGTGTGTGCCTAGCAGACTCAATCTAACCGAAAGGAACAGAAACTCAATTATAACTTTATTTAAAAATTCAATTAAGTTATATGATAATTTGCTAACTACGCCTCTCTTCTTGCTCCCTAAACATTTTTGGGCGTGGCCTAATTTGAAATGATAGCTTTGATTGGTCGATCACTTTTTGTAAAGGATCTCCGATTCTTTTGTTCAACGCCAACAAAGCACTAGTCTTCTATTGTGTAAGTATAAGTAGCTATACATTACTCTGGAAGTTGTAGAAATTGCTATGGCCACACAAACTATTTGTTATGTTTAGAATACTTTCTGAAAACCTCATCAACATGTAAGTACAATTACCAAAGTAACTGCTTTTTCAATATAATATGCACACAGATAGAAAAATTTTTAAATTAAAGTTCAAAACTATGTAAGGTACAAAGAGAACTATAGAACTATAATGAATGAAATTCATGTTCGTGGATTTGTGTTATTATGACGAGCAAGTTGTGTTCGACAAATAAATAAAAAAAAAATTAACCATAAAATTTAATTTGCTGCGAAACATACCTAATAATTATATTATAAATGGTAATGAAAAAACCACATAAATTATATATACGATATATGAGAATTTGAAAATTAAACAACTCAACATACTGAGGCCTTTTGATAGCAAAAAATACTCAATAATAACTTAATCAACCTATAATAACCATCAGAAGATTACTAAAGTAAGAAACCTTACACAAAAGTAAGAAATCAACTAATTTTTACGAAGAAAAACAACAATCCTTATATCCCATAAGTGAGTGGGTCCCAAGAAGTACCTTGAGGTACTTCTTGGGATCTCATAAATTAATATTTTAGAATAAATATTGACAATTAAGCGTTTCGTAATATTATTTTCTGTGTGTTTTATTAAAACCATTTCGATTAATAAAAAAGACAACTACAAAATGTTTTATGACCCATCACCACCTATGAGAAATTTTCGAGCGTGAGATATTTATGAGAAATCTTTTTTTCTAAAAACGAGCCGTATTCCGGCTGATAATGATAATAGAAAAGATGAACATGGGAGTAAAAAAGATCAGTATAGTAACCATCCATTTCCGATATTCTTCGTTTTTTATGACCGGACCCTATAATATACATCTCGAAAATATCTCTAATTCCTCCTCCGCTGATATCTGGAAATTCCTTGGAACTCTAGGTATCGGCAAAGCGCAATATCCAGGCCTTCCCAACTCGATTGACTTAGATGATCTCAACAAACATTTCTCCACAGTCCCTCTTATGGATCATCTAGTCAAAAAACGCACCGTGGACTTTATTTCTGGTCTGATGCGTCCCAACATCTCTCATCCTTTTCTCTTCGTACCAGTTGAGTCGTCGGAGGTCCGTAAGATAATCCTATCCATCAAGTCCAAAGCGGTAGGTTGTGATAACATTTCTCGCCATATGATCTCTAATATCTTGGACCACCTCCTGCCAGCTTTAACTCACATCATAAATTATTCCCTCTTTTCCGGAACCTTCCCATCCCTGTGGCGTAATGCCCATGTCCGTCCTCTTCCGAAAGTCTCTGTCCCTACTATTCCCTCTCATTTTCGGCCTATATCTATACTCCCGTTCCTATCCAAAGTCCTTGAAGCCTGTGTACATAAGCAGCTATCCAGATTCATTTACATGAATGGGCTTATCAGCCCTCTACAATCTGGATTCAGGCCTGGGCATAGCACGGTTTCCGCTCTCCTTAAAGTGACTGGCGATATTAGAGCGGGCCTTGAGGACTCCAAGGCCACTATTCTGGTTTTGGTTGATTTTTCGAACGCTTTCAATATGGTCAGTCACGATATCCTTTTAGCAATCTTATCCCATCTTGCGATCTCTGGCAAATCACTGGAATGGTTCTCTTCCTATCTTCAGGAGCGTCAACAGTCCATTAAGCTTGATGAGGTTTCATCTAATTGGTGCAAATTGGAAACTGGCGTTCCTCAAGGCAGTATACTATCTCCTCTTTTATTTTCCATCTTCATTAATTTTATAACTTCCCAACTTCAGTGTGCGTACCATCTGTATGCTGATGACTTGCAGCTATACTGTCATGCTAATATTGATAGGCTGTCCGATGCAATAACGATGATCAATAATGACTTGGGTACCATTAAGGACTGGTCTGAAACGTTTGGTATAGCGGTGAATCCTCTTAAATGCCAAGCAATCGTCATAGGCAGCCCTCGTACTTTGAGCGGAATGGACCCAAATTTACCGAATATTGTCTTTGACAGTGCCACAATCCCACTTAGTAGTGAAGTTAAGGATCTGGGCCTGTACATTGACAGTCATTTGAAGTGGCATACTCATGTCGCTAGTGTATGTAAAAGGGTCACCGGATCCCTGCGGACACTGTATCGCCTGAAGAATTTGCTTCCGTCTGCTACGAAAGCAATGCTGGTGCAGGCCTTGGTTTTTCCTATTATAGATTATGCTGATGTTTGTTACTACGACCTGAATGCTGATCTACTCAATAAACTCGACCGACTTCTTAACAACTGCATTCGATTCGTTTTCAACCTGCGTAAATATGATCATGTTTCTGCACATCGGTTGCAATTGAAGTGGTTGCCCATACGCCAGCGCAGGGAGCAAAGGGCGCTAACCACTCTGTTCTCTTTCCTCAACTCACCTTGTTCGCCTAGCTATCTATCCTCTTACTTTCAATACTTGTGCGCAAACCACAGCAAAAATCTTCGTTCTTCCCATAACCGTCTTCTCCAATGTCCCACTCACCGCACTGATTTCCTCCACTCCTCCTTTTTACCCGACTGCCAAAGAAGGAGGGTAATGTTTTTCGAGTGTATGTAAGTATGTATGTATGTCTTTTCCTTTGTGACCTCCTGTAGCCTAAACGGCTTGATGGATTTTGATGTATGAGGTATCGTTAGATTTGTCTTGATTACGGGAGTGTCATAGGATACATTTTATCCTAAAAGTCCCACGGGATAAAGACATAATAATATTTTTTCTAAATTTCCCTTTAAAAAAATATGTATGCGGTATCATTAGATTCATTTAAATCACGGGAGTAATTAATATAGGATACGTTTTTTCTCAAAATTCCCACGGGAACATGTTAATTCTGCGTCAACGCAAAGCAACTCATGCGTTAGCAAGCAAAAAGATAGGGCGTGGCCTGGCATGCGGCGCGCGGCGCGGTGCGGAGGGGGATATGCTCGAGTATACAGCCCGAATGCGGGCACACGCATAAGGGCACACGTCGTTGACGGTCGTCTCTAAATAGCGATTTTTTCGATACTTCGTCGTCTGACGCGAAACTTATAAAGTATAAATAACTCGTTCTTTTTCTTTCGTGTTTCTCTCTTTAAATTTATTCGTTCTTTCTAATTAATTAACTCGTTCTTCCGTTCTTTTTTTTGGTTCTTTCTTAAATTCTTCATGTTATATAATAATATGAAGAATTATAATAATAATTATTATTAATAAAATAACTAGGTAGGTAGATATTTTTCAGCTAAAAAGTTATAAATAAAAAAAATATTATTAAAAAAACAAAATACCCGACTGCACACTAAAAAAAGAGTAAAACAAGCCCCACAATACAAATTTACTGAATATAATTTATAAATGTTGATGGACAGCATCGCAGGCGGGGACCACCTTGACCGCCACCAACGAAAATTCTGCTAAATGGTGCACAACAGAAATGACTATAAAAAGGCCTCTGTTGGTCCCCGCCTGCGATGCTTTCCATCAACATTTATAAATTATATTCAGTAAATTTGTATTGTGGGGCTTGTTTTACTCTTTTTTTAGTGTGCAGTCGGGTATTTTGTTTTTTTAATAATATTTTTTTTATTTGTCCAGTCTGTCTTGCTGTGGAATGCGCTCCCCCCGGATGTCAGGATGGTGTCTAGTCGCTTGACTTTTAAACAAAAGGTTCGTGAGCTTTTATTGAAAGGTTTGGCTAAATCGTGACCACCATACATTATTATTAATAAGTATTAGTATATGTATGTATATAGTATATGTATGTATGTAGTATACTTATGTATGTATATAGTATATATATGTAGCAGTTATTTATTATTATATAATATAATTTGAGTATGAATGTAGGTATATATTAGGGATATAGTAACTTGTACGTTAATAATACGCACATATATCTATCTCCTATGTCTTATCAGATTTAAAGTTAAGCCGTTTGCTTGCTTCTTGCACCGACCATTGGCTCATCTCTGCATCACCCAAGGTTTGACTGGTAGAAAATGCCTTAGGCATTAAGTCCGCCTATGTACCCATTGTGCATGAAGTTTAAATAAATAAATAAATAAATAAATATACTTAATATATCAAAAGCTTTGGACAAATCCAAGAAGTATTAACATTTATTAATGTTTTTTAAGTAAAACTATGTAAACAACGCTTTACTGAAACAACTGTGTTTAGTAAACAGAAACTAAACATAAACATATGTTGAGAGCGATTCTATCTAGCTATCTATATTATAGTAGAAGACTGCCTATAACCAATACTTTAAACCACTTTTATACATAAGCTGTGAGCGTACCTTATAATAAATAAATAAATCAATAAATAGAAGCACTATAAAAGCATTTCTTTAATTCCCACAAAAATGCTTAAAGATGTAAATGCACGTATAAAGAAATAGTACACAGAAATTAGGTTACACGCAGAAATTAAATTTCTTATGGCATTTTATTACAACTACATATTTTTATTGCAAAAACTTGCTGCGAACGAAACTGTTTTCAAAGGGTGGATATTTTGTAACTCAGTTCTTAGTAGACCAGGCCCATGAATAGCGTTAGATTCTTACAGACAGTGATGAGGATGATGGTGATAATTATGATGATGACGATGATAATGATTATTATGACGATGGTGACGATGGTGTTGATGATGATGATGACGATGGAGTTGATGCCGATAGTAGACATGCCTCTAGATAATCTTGTACTTACTGAATTCTGGTATGGAATGCAGGAAGAACGCGATGACAACAAATACAATAGTGACCGCACACTTCACCAGCAACGCAGCGTCTCTTATTTTATACTGTGAGTAAAGAATAAGAATCTCTTTTATTAAGTTTTTTACTCGTTAGACTAATGTTTAATTCGAGTACCTAGAGTAGCTATCCTACAGAGTTAAACGAATGATATAATAATATTCTGACCAATTAGATCAATTTCTCTCTAAAAATCTACGAAACCATAATCCCCAAAAGACCGGCAACGTATCTGAACTTCTCTGGCGTTATGAGAGCCCATGGGAAGCGCCGATTGCTTACAACAAGGGTGCCAATCTAGCTCTTGTGAAAACTTAGGAGAGTCATGTTTTAGGAACGAATCAGTACCATAAATCAATTAGTACAGTAAGGTATTCGAAAGCGTAAATGCCAAATAAATTATACAGTATTATAGTAACAAAACTGTAACTTTTAATTATTCTTCTCTAATTATTTTAAAAGAAATACGAATGTATTTGGCACCAAATAAATATGGCAAAAGTAAATTTGTTCAAGTGAAAAAACTTCTACAATTTATTACTCTCACCTTTTTCCTCATTTCTGCTAAAGTATTTTCAAAATTTTCATCAGGGTAGGCTCTGATCTTTGCTTCCTTGATCAGCTCTTCCAGTTTTATAGTCAATTTCTTTATTTTCCTTTCCAATCTATCTTTGACCACGAGCTGATCAGGACTTAGATGCGGCAAAGAATCTGCTGCACGCCTCCATATTAAAATTTGACGACGAAGATCTAAATAAAAGAAAAATATTTATGATTTTTTACAATCATAATTTTAATTATGTTGTGCAGCTTACCCATGTATAAATCTTTGGTAATCATGTATTACTAGTCAAGGTTCGGCCAAGCCAGGAGTCATAATCATAAGCAGCATGTACTGACGTTACACTTTAGAGTATTTTTGTCGAACAGTTACGTTAGAAAGTCGTACAATCCAAATAATAAAGGAAACAAATAAACAGGTATCGTTATAATACAAACAATGACGACGGTAATGGCGGCAAAACTATGAGCCCCTTTTACGGATTGAAAGTAGTCGAACATCCTCGAAAAGTAAAAGAAGCAACTTTATTAATATGACTGGGCATCAGCGTTGTCTAATAAACATTAACCTTTTATACTGCAATCTCTATCTCGGTTGCCAAGCGTGGTGATAATTATTGAAAGTCACTCTTTTGTTTGATGTAATATGACGGCAAACGAGCAAACTGATTATTTGATGGTAAATGGGCGCCGTCCTTTTGGGGAAAATGGATTGAGGAGGGATTGGCAGAAGGTAGGGAACAATAATGAAGTTTTAGGGGCTGTTAACATATTAAAAAAATACAGTTTATTACCTTGAACATCCTTGGGTTCAGTCAGTCTCAGCTTACTGGTGTCTCTAAGAATGAACCTGAGCTGAAGGTAGGTCTGAACAGCCACAAAAAGAATACCGAAGGTCATGTGCAGTGTAAAATTGGTGAAATTGATGCCCTGATGATGAGATAAACTAGATGTAGTGACATTATAAATAAGAAAAAGTTCGTCTACGGAAGGGTAGCTTAGCCTAATAAATTTAAAATAAGTATCACCTGGTAGTGCTAGTGTTGAAATCGAAGTGTTTTCAGAAAACAAAATTTTAATTTCAATTCGCTCGCGAATTCAGGCGTGCGTTCGTGCAGCGGAATGTTGTTGAATTTAAAGATTTTAATTATGCAGATATTTAGTGTATGAAGTCGTATAATTGTGTATGGTAAAAAAAAATTTGTGCACGCAACCATTGTGGAGAAATTCACCAAAAACTGATTCCGCTGGGCGAACGTTGTCCTGGCGGAACTTTTTTTAATCCATAGACTTTAGAAGAAAAGAGATGTATCCAAAAATTAGTGTGTATTTGTGTGTAATTGTGTATGTATGAATAAAACTAGTGCATGCATAAACTTCGGAGAAATTCAATTTTCCGTTACGCGAACGTTTGGCCATTAGCTAGTTTTCATATAAAGCGCTTACATAGAGAGCTGTAGATTTTTCATACGTTGTTTTGAATTTGTTTATATTTGTTTAAAAAACAGATTCAGAAAAAATCGTAGGGTTTAAAAGATAAAAATATAAACGTAAAATACTATACGCTTATTAGGTCTTAGTTCTTAAAGTATGCACTTTGGGGTCTAGATTTTCACGTTTATACAAACCTTGTAAGTGTCTGCAACATGTTGCCAAGTATCCATGATGTTCCGTTAGTAATTAAATAGTTATAGGACAAATTTACCATGAATAGATCACTGTTTACAAAGCAGTCAAATATCACGACTTTCTAAATGAATTGCATGGTAAAATGTATGCCAATAATTAGTGTATTCATTCAACTATTCACATGCAAAATTTCATGTCATTAAATTCAGTATATAAAGAAAAACAATTATAATACTGACGAAGCATCGAAAACCTACATAACCCGACCAAGTTCGGATGGCAACAAAAAAGCGGCCGTGCCATATATCTAAGAAACGTTCTTAACTTTCCAATATAGCATTTATTAATATGGTACAGTATCGTAAACAAGCGTTAGGAAAAAATAAAACACAGTATTGTACACACGCTCGCGCATGCCTAGTCTATTGGTTAAATAGAGTAATAAAAAATATTGGTTAAATAGTGTAATAAGCTACAATATGATAAATATTTACCTAAACAGTAGTACATACTTACATGTGGTAAATATTTAATTTCCCTAAGGGGTCTATAGTTAGAATCCTGATTCGTGAAATCTTCAATAGAAATTAGCTGTATGAATTTTATTTGTCTTAAATATAATTAGATTATATCTCAAGTCTCAAGCGCATACTTAAATAAAGTACCTCCGTAAATAGTACCTACTTTCTGTCATAGTCAAATACATTTAAAAAAGTAGGTGTCCAAAAAGAAATGACCTATAATTAATTATTTCGAAACAACAAGTGTGTTATCACCTGTACCAATTCAATACCGGTATTATACTGTAAATTTTGGGATGTTACCTAAATATATTGCACAGCCGCTTTTTTGTAGCCATCCGAACTTGGTCGGGTTATGTAGGTTTTCGATGCTTCGTCAGTATTATAATTGTTTTTCTTTAATTACTGAATTTAATGACATGAAATTTTGCATGTGAATAGTTGAATGAATACACTAATTATTGGCATACATTTTACCATGCAATTCATTTAGAAAGTCGTGATATTTGACTGCTTTATAAACAGTGATCTATTCATGGTAAATTTGTCCTATAACTATTTAATTACTAACGGAACATCATTGATACTTGGCAACATGTTGCAGACACTTACAAGGTTTGTATAAACGTAAAAATCTAGACCCCAAAGTGCATACTTTAAGAACTAAGATATAATAAACGTATTTTACGTTTATATTTTTATCTTTTAAACCCTACGATTTTTTCTAAATCTGTTTTTTAAACAAATTCAAAACAACGTATGTAAAAATCTACAGCTCTCTATGTAAGCGCTTTATATAAAAACTAGCTAATGGCCAAACGTTCGCGTAGCGGAAACTTGAATTTCTCCGAAGTTTATGCATGCACTAGTTTTATTCATACATACACAATTACACACAAATACACACTAATTTTTGGATACATCTCTTTTCTTCTAAAGTCTATGGATTAAAAAAAGTTCCGCCAGGACAACGTTCGCCCAGCGGAATCAGTTTTTGGTGAATTTCTCCACAATGGTTGCGTGCACAAATTTTTTTTTACCATACGCAATTATACGACGTCATACACTAAATATCTGCATAATTAAAATCTTTAAATTCAACAACATTCCGCTGCACGAACGCACGCCGAATTCAGATATGACTTGCATATAGACTTTAGGAATAACTGTTGCTACGATTTCACATGCACTCTCAGACCCGACGGAATAACAATTTGTGGATAAAACAAATAGTCTGTTATTCCTTACGGTAATCGAATCAGCGGGACGTTGCATGGCAACAGGTTGCCCATGTAGATATTCCGTACAATAATTATTAAGAGAACTTCCAAAAGTAAATAATATTTCAAACCGAAAATCGAGTCGGAGGTCTCTGAAACTTACAGCTTGAACTACTTGCTTATTCGAAGCTATGATGATGTTTGGGGGATCGCCTACTGGTGTCGCTGTACCCGCTAGATTGCAGAATATCACCATAGACAGTAATACCGGTATGGGATCCAATTCCATCACTTCGGATAACCTGGAAAAGAGAAAAATGATACAGTTTTAACACGCTTTTATTAAGTCTACCGATAACGATGTATAAGAAATAAAATCTAAGAAACTGAATTTTTTTTTTTTGAAAAAACGTTGCCCCACTTTAGGATTTTTTCCTGTGTTGTGGGTGCGTTTACAAACATATAATTTCACATACACATGACACATTCAGAAATCTGGCAATTGTAAGTGAATTAAATATAGGCAATACAACAAATATTATGGTGCAATTGAGCTGGTTTTATAAGAGATGATTCTGCATTCGTGCCGAGGCTTGGCTCTCCTACACTTAGGCCTTCGCCTTCGCTTCGCCTTCGCTTCGCCTTCGCTTCGCCTTCGCTTCGCCTTCGCTTCGCCTTCGCTTCGCCTTCGCTTCGCCTTCGCTTCGCCTTCGCTTCGCCTTCGCTTCGCCTTCGCTTCGCCTTCGCTTCGCCTTCGCTTCGCCTTCGCTTCGCCTTCGCCGCGCCGCCCGCAACACCAAAGGAGTTACGAGTGCGTTGCCGGCCTTATGGGGATGGGACGTGCGGATATAAGGATTGGGAATGGATAGGGGAAGGGGAGGAATTGGGCCTCCGGTAAACTCTCTCTCACGGCGAAACACAACGCTGAGGGTTGTTTGACGCCGGTATTTTGTGAGGCCGTGGTATCACTCCGGTCGAGCCGACCCATTCGTGCCGAAGCTTGGCTCTCCCACACTTAGGCTTTCGCCTTCGCCTTCGCCTTCAACTTCGCCTTCGCCTTCGCCTTCCCAGCCCAGATGCCCAGATGGAGAAGCTGGTATTGAGGAGCCCCCGCCCAAAGATGAGAACAGTTTTCCATATGGGGCCGAACTTGCGCCTTGTAAAGTAGCAGGCGATGCCCCAGGTTGAAATACTGATTCGATCTATTTATTGAGCACACACTTGGCCTTGGCCTCAAGGTGACCGTGGAACTGGACTTCGCTCGATATGTCGACACCAAGCCGGCCGAGGCTGTGAGAGGGGTGCTCTGAACAATTTTTTAGCTGTGAACACGTTAAGTCAGTTAAGTCTATTCCAATCTGAGATTATCTGTAAAGAAGTCTCAATTTCAGATATTTTCCCGAGAAATGTTAGCACGGCTGCCGTAAAAGGCATCACCCGTGCTGTCAATCTGTCATTCGCACTAATTTGCAACATATCATTGACTAGCTACTTTCGCGCGCTTTCACCCGCTGCTCAGGAACATTGTAGCTCTATTAGTGAAAGAATTTTGGCAATCCGACCAGCGGTTCCAAAGATTACCCCCTACATACAAACTTACAAACATACAAACTAACAAATTTTTCCTATTTATAATATTAGTATAGATATGGAAGAGGAACAGAGTGCCTACTCTGTTCCTCTTCCATTTATTTATTTATTTAGTAGAACATAAGCTAACAGTTTACCACCAAATCGCTTATATCTATATTATAGGTACTTATACTACTATTACATACTACATTTACATTATAATTATTACAATATACAAGTCAATATTAAAAGTATTACAGAATTATTAGATAAAAATTACATTATATTCATTATAGTTAATTAGTTCTTACAAATAACAAATCGGAATTTAAATGTTTATTAAAAGCAGTTATTATTAATTATTATTTCCAATTTAAATATAATCGAACATTATTATTCATAACACTTCGCGAATCGAAAAATATATCTGCACCTGGATTCGTCTGAAGGAAATAGTTGATGAGCTTGATAGCTTTGCCAGTGGGAGTGTTATCTGCTTGGCGCGAGGACCACTCAGGTGGATAGCATAAGAGCTTATGCTGTCGTCTGCCAATGCCACGTATATATTGGTTGGGTACATAAAAATAAATGCTCTCTCGCACTGTAGGATTGTCTACTATGTTTGCGATTAATAGGTAATAGTGCATTATTTTCCTAAACTCTCTTCTAAATTGTAAAGTATCCAGGCCTACCATTCCCGACACAAACATCGACGGATATAAGAATGGATAGTATCCAAACTGGCGTTTGAAGAGATACCTGGCAAACTTTCGCTGTATTTTTTCCACCATCATTGTATAAAGGTTTTCGCTAGGATCCCAAACAATGGCATTGTATTCCAACTTACTCCGCACATAGGCATTGTATAATAATTTTATAACTTTTATATTTTTAAATTGATACGACGTTCTCATCACAAAACCTAAACATTTATTTGTTTCTTTACATATTTGAATAATGTGATCGTGGAAATTTAATTTAGCATCCATAATTAAGCCTAAATCGCGAATTGAAAATACGCGCTCCAATGTAGTGCCCGCTAGCTGGTATGTCGCTGTGATTGGAGTACGAGACCGAGAAAAAGTTAACACTTTGTATTTTGAGCTATTAAAAGACAAATTATTTTTTGCACTCCATTCTACCACTGCGCCAATGTCGCCTTGCAGAGCTGCACAATCGTCAACTCCGCCTATTGCGAGGTAAAGTTTTAGGTCATCAGCGAACATTAGGCATTGTGCCTTTGAGATGACTTTAGGTAAGTCATTAATCATTATGAGGAACTGCGTAGGACCTAAGGTACTCCCTTGACTTACTCCAGAGCGAGTGAAGTATTCTTGAGAAATATACCCTCCTGCTTTAACAAACTGCTTGCGATCCTTTAAGTAATTGGCCATGAATCTTAGAAGTGGTGTTGTAAATCCAATGGAAGCAAATTTTGATATAAGAACATCATTATCAACTAGGTCGAATGCCTTTTTAAAATCAAAATATGCCGCATCGACTTGGCAACCGGTTTTGACTCTGCTATTCACGTAATCTACAAATTGAATATGATTGGTTAGAGTAGAGCGTCCAGGCCTAAATCCATGCTGACAATTATCCAATAGGGGTCTGATTTGTTTTAAAATATACGCATTAATAATGGATTCAAATATCTTTCCGAACACTGATAACACTGCAATTGGTCTGAAGTTAGTGACATCCGTGGATGAGCCACTTTTAGGTACGGGAGTTACCCTGGACATTTTCCATCTTGTAGGATAGATACCTTGTTGAAGCGATATATTAAATACGTATAATACAGGCAATTCCAAAACACGCAAGCAGTCTTTTACTAAAAATGTAGGAATATTATCAGGGCCGTATGCTGACGCTGTTTTGAGACGTTGCACTGCACGTCGTAGGTCTGTAATTTTGATCTGGTCTATACTGACCGTGGATGTTGACGCTGCGTTAATTGCGCCGCGTTCAGCAGCCTCTACGTCTAATAAGGGAGTAGTATCATGAAAATTTGAACTAAAGTAAGTAGCAAACGCATCAATAGCTTCTTGACCTGTTAAAACCTTACCATTAAATATGCATTCATTACTTCGCGACATATTTTTTCGTTTATCCTTTACGTATTTCCAAAAATTACTGGGCTCAAGCGCTATTCTACTTTCTGTCCTTACTATATATTTTTTAAATTCTATTTTAATCAATTCTTTTACTTTGCCTCTGTAGTATTTAAATAATTGTTTGTTGCATTCTAATCCAGAACTTTTATACTTTTTTAAATTAAAATGTTTTAGTTTGATATAATGTATTATTTCTTGTGTATACCATTTAGGATAAATGTATTTATTATTCAAAATTACTTTTTTATGAGGGACTCTAGCACTGATTACACTGTTAAGTTTATTATATAGAATTTCAACAGCCAGGTCAACATCCCGTTCCCGTAAAAGTTCCGTCCAGTCTATGTCTGCAATATCAGAATACAATCCAGGGAAATCAGCTCCACGAAAATTCCACTCCGAACTAAAACTTGAAAACTGTTCAGGCGTCACCGATGTTGGGATTTTGTTAACAGTATTAACAGGTAGCGAAAGCAGTATCTCTAACGGGGGGTGGTAAGCATCTGTAGGAACGAGTGGCTCAATGTCCGAAGTCACATTAATACTTTGGGTGCTAAGAGTAGTCAGCGCAAAATCCAGAATGCATCCATAATCATTACAAACATTGTTACACTGACGTAGTTTACAGTACTCTAAAAAGTTATAAAATTGAGTTTGAACAGATACATTGCAAGACTTCAAGTTAAAATCTCCAACTATTACAATTGGATAATCTGAAAAGGTGTCGACAGCATTTTCTATACAATTCAAGACATCTAAGTATTGCTTGTCACTGTAATTAGGGGGTAAGTAAACAACGCATACCAAAAGTTTTACATTTTTTAGCGTTACAATAGCAAACAACAATTCCTTATCATCAGTTAAATCGTCTACATTTGTAATTCTTTTAACGTTTATATTACTCTTCGCAGCCAAAAGTACACCACCCCATCCTACGTCACCCGCACGATCCTTCCTCAGTACAATATACTCTGGAGGGAATAGCTCAGAATCGTATACAGAACTATTAAGAAAAGTTTCAGTGAGGACGACAAGATCACATGACAATGCACAAATATTATTAAAAAAAGTTACAGTTTTTGTCCGGAGACCTCGGACATTTTGATAGTACAAAATTAGTTTCTTGTAAGAGAGTTTATTATTATTACAATTAGTCTTTTTTTTGCGAGACTTGCTCTGCGAGAAAAAACTTAATACTATCTACTTTAGGCTTAGCTCTTGTGGGAGTGATCAGCGGATAACCGTTGTAATTATAGTCAACATTTACATTATCGAGTATATTATTGTAAATATGTTGTATACCCTCGGAATTGTTGTTTGAATTTTCATAAATTAATGCTTCACATGCAGTTGAGTGAGCATTTATAGTCAGCAGTAAGTTACGAAAGATATTGCGCATTCCGTGGTTGTTTACCTTTCTATTAACTTTTGAAAACATCGTAAAATCATACAGCAGATCCAAATTAGAGTCAAATGCACAATCGCGTATCCATATGTTTGAAGATCAAGGTGTAACAAGTTATTGAAAGTTTCAATTCGCCAGTTAAACATTGTTGAATAATCACTTAATTTAAAAGTAGGAACACACAAAATAACATTTGTATGTTGTATTTTGAGAAGTATCTCCCTTAATTCAATAATAATATTAACATAGTTTCCTGTTTGTTGGAAGTCTTTTTCGCCGATTAAGATGACACAGTAATCAGAAGTAGAAAAATTTGCTAATTTCTTATCTAAATTACTTACTAGTTGTATCAAACCACAATTTGGCAATATATAGTGACATACCTGCAAGTTTTCAAATGTTTCTTTAGCTATAGAGGTAATGTCGTTAGTTTTATTAGCACTTAAAATACATAGTTTATTCTTGGCAGGTTTGTTCACAGTTTCTGACATTTGATTAACTTGGTTTCTAGATTTAAGAACAGCAGGAGTCCTGGTAGTTTCTTGGTTGATGTTAGAGGGGGGTTTGTAACAATCCCTTTTCTTATTTTTCTTGTGTGCACGAGGAGTCGATGAAGTATGCATGCATTTGCCAGGTGTTACTGATTCAGTGGTTAATGTCTTAGTGGCTTTTTTTAAGATATCGTATTTAGTTGTTAGTTCCTTAACTACGTTTTTAAGCGAAGTATTTTCTAAATTTAAGTTTTGAATCTCCTCGTGTGCTGAATTTAGTTGCAGATTGAGCTGTTGGATCTGGCTTTGAAGTTCCTGAATTTGTAAATAATTTGTATCGTTGGATATATTTGGCAAGCTACCGGTGCTGCCATCTATCTTGGAACTGTTTGGACTATTTTCTATGGAACTATTTTCTGTCAAGGAACGTGTCTTTGTTTTCCTAAAAGTAATGTTTTCGAAGAAATTCATCTTGAAATTTATCATAACAGTCTTCAAACATTCACAAAAAGACAATCTCGGTGTGGGGATCGATCTCAGGTTGAACTGCGTGTAAGGCAACGACTACGATAATCGTTCTATGATGCAATTGGTATAAGCATTGAAATTATTGATCTGTTGACCCTTCGAGGCAGAAAGTTCGTTGAGATACCCGACACTTGATAATAACTTAAAAAGCTTTTTTTTTACCGCCACCCAAGCTCCACCTTTTGAATATTGAATTTATTGCTTCGTTTATATTGTTTTTGTTAAGTGTATATTTTATGGGTTTTACGAGTCGTTATTGATCACGTAACGATCTGGATTAGTTAGAAATATTTGTTTATTATCACTCACGACGCCGCCGTAGTCACAATGTTTGATCACTTTATAGATGATGTTTATTAAGATGTTTATTAAGTATATAGTGAATAATAGGTTCTGATAACACTTTCACACATGTATTGCACTATTCTGTTCACTGTTATAATGTGTTTTTGTAGATACTGTTAATAAATAAATTTTAAATGAATTTAATACAGGAGCAATATGTTCACATGACAGCGAGCGCCATCTATATGTATATAGTGATAGTACGCAGCCTTGAGGACACCAGCGTTCACAGGCAAGCAATCAGAGCATTCACCGTCGACCGCGACTTTTATGCTTCTGTCTCCAAGCTGGATACCCATTATACAGTTTCTCGGGAAGCCCATAGGAAGGTAGATTCGAAGAAGCTTGTTTTATCAAATCCGATCGAATGCCTTCGCTACGTCAAAACTGACCGCCATCGCTTCCCCCTTGGACTCGATCGCCTGTGCCCAACGGTGTGTCAGGTAAGCTAGAAGATCACCAGCGGACCGGCCTTTAAGGAAACCGTACTGTCGGTCGCTAAGAAATCTGATGATTCTCCAAGTACCGAAGGAGCTGGCAGTTAATGGATGACTCCATTATTTTCGAGAAGAGGGAAGTTATGGCTACCTGTATGTCTGTAATTGAACGTATTTGTAATGACCTTTTTTAGGGATTGGGTGGATCAAAGCTGTCTTCCATAACGTTGGAACTATGCTAAGAGTATGAGAACCAAAAAAGACGTGTTAGGACTGGTGCCAACTCAGAAGCGCATATCCTTAACACAATCAAATGGGTGGAACCCCGTCAGGCCCACTTGACTTATGGATGTCAAGAGACATGAGCGCCAACCGTTACGAGCACTGGTGAAACCGAATATCCAGCATATAACACCCGCGCCACGGCAGATTCGGCGGCTCACGTCCCCCGTCATCCAATTTCCAATTTGACGCAACGAACTAATCCAAAAGCTGTGCTTTTTCTTTTGCGTCGTACGCCAACGATTCTTCCCCATGTGCAGAGGTGGGAATGATGGACAACAGAAATTGCCTTCGAAAGCTTTGGCGAGAGATTACAGCGCATGAGTTCGTGAAGGAAGGCGTTCAAGCGTCTCACCAATCCTACCGATATGGTTGGACTTGGCCCCCGCTATGACTCTTTTGAAGTGCCGACCGCATCAGCCCAGGTTCGGTAAGCCTTTTGCTTCCTGCATAAAGCTTTTCTAGAAGAAGACCCGGACCAAGGCCGATATCTGCCACTGATGGGGACCACAGAAGACAGAACGAAAAGTTCCATCCCCTGCAGCACCACATAAGCAACAGAGTCAGCAGCGGCGTTGGGATCATCCGACAAGCAAACTCGCCTCCAAGGGTAAAGTCGTGGGCAGATCTCCCCGCATGGTCAGTCCTACTAGAGCCAAACCAGTCGACGTTATGGGCATTAAGATCACCAAGTAGGACGACCTCCGCTGAGGGTATCCGCCGTTGCACAGAATCTACAGCCATCTGGATGTGTTCTATAAATTGGACAGTTTCACTATCACCGCTATGGGACCTATAAAGGAACGCGTAGATGCTGTCGTTGCTATTTAGACATAGCCATAAGATGGATAGGACCTTCGAGATTACAGAGGCGACGAGAGTAGAAATCGTTGACGTGCGGCATTGGATGGGGGGAGGTAATTTGGGCCTCCGGTACCCTCACTCACTCGGAAACATAACTAAAGCGTTGCTTCACGTCAGTTTTTCTGTGAGGCCGTGGTATTACTCCGATCGAGCCGGCCCATTCGTGCCGAAGCATGGCTTAGTTTTAGTTTTTTTATTATATTGTGTCATTTTTATTATTCCAACAGTTAAGCCGTGCGAGGCAGAAATCTTTGCGAACATTCTGGAATTGTGCCTATACTGTCTCTAAGAATTACGATCACATGCATCTATATCATATAAAAAGAAAAGCAATCTTACCGTATTGTGACTGGCGTTACTAGAAGCACAGTAGTAACATTATCCAGTAGCAGTGACACTATTGATGTGACTCCACATAGCATAGTTATTAACGGCCATATCTTTCCTCTCGCTAACTGAAACAATATTTTAAAGAAGGTCATAATTGAAGATTTTTGGATGGGTGGATGGTGTCTACGGTCTAACTACCACTACAAACATCCTCATTACTAAATCACTGACAACCAACCAACCAACGTGTTTGCAAATCTTCTGGTGTACATGGGCGGCATCGATTGTTTACCATTAGGTAATCAAACTGCGTGTTTGCCGACCTATCCCCTAAAAAATCAAAGCAATTATAGTTTAAGATCTATAACGCCTACGGTAACCTCAGTCACACTCAGTCGGTTTTCTATGAGGCCTTAGATTTGGCCCATTCGTGGCGAAGCAGGTATGTGTATCTTTATCTATCCTTTTGAGGAAAACCGGAGGCTCAATCCTTCCCCTCCCCAAATCCCTCCTAAATCCCTAAATCTCCAAATCCCTAATCCCTAAAAGGTCGGCAACGCACTCGTAACTCCTACGTTGAGAGTGGGCGGCGCTGATTGCTTACCATCAGGTAATCCGCCTGCTCGTTTGCCGACCTATTAAATAAAAGAAAAAAAAGTCGTTATAATGTAGATTAAAGCAATAACACAAGAGATACCCAAGACCTACAGTAAGACATGATACAGTTCTCATTACCATTGTTAGAGATAAGATAAATGTTATTATTTGCATGCATAAGACAGATTATTTATTTGCTGATTACATTTGAATGACTGACCGACATTTTAAATCTATATTTTGTTCATCTCCCACTACAGTGACTTCCTCCGCCCAGGGTGAGGTGAGAGCGAGTATTAGATTCTAATTGACTAAAAACCACAGTGCTCCTTGTCCCGCTCCACGCCGTCGGTCAGCCGGTCAGCCCCGAATACATCTTATAGTCATGTTCTAAGTTGGAAAACGCCAATCCGTCTTAAGCTTACTTGAAAATGGTCAAATTGCTCATTCTTTCCTCACCAATAGCCACTTATAGGCTGATGATGACATAAAATCAAAAAACCCACTCAAAAGTCCAAAACTTACCTGAAATGTCAGTACAGCGTAGTAATCAAAAACCCCAGTTTCTGCTAAAATGGCGACAAGAACCATCATGCTGAAGAGTAGGAGTAGCGTCTCCACATCCAACCAGGATATAATCTCTGGCACTGACGGTCTTTCGCCAGCAATGGATAATGCAGCCAATGATGACGTGGAGAGCAGAACTGCTGCCATCGTTCTGTTTATAACCTGGTAATGTAGAGCATATATTATTGGTATCACAAAGAATATAGCTTTAGGGAATAAAAAGTAAAAGATCTAGTTTAGTGGAGGTCTCTTCATGAATCTCGTACATTTTGATCACCTTTTTCACTGCCTTCGTCTGCTCTCGGAGACACGGCACTCATATGGCGAGCTGCCTGCCAACCAATCACATCGTTGTGTTCCACCACGTGAATGAAGCTATCAGACCCAATCTTTCCCTTCCCCTATCCCATCCTAATCTTAATCCCTAAAAGAGCGACAACTCTTCTGGTATTATGGGTGTATATGGGCCGAGTCGATGGCTTTCCATCAGGTAATCCATCCGCTCGTTTGCTAACCTACCACACAAAGAAGTTGCTGCCAAAACAACTCACCTCAAAAACAATTAAGGCGTATAATGCAAGTAGCAGAATACATGCGTATATAATTCCTGTTGTCTCATCTAATGGATCCAAAGTATAGCTCAAAGTGAACGGTGTTGTCACATCAGCGGTAGTAGTCATCCTTACAGCTAAAACGCTTTGGTTTGTAGAAGAAAATGGTAAGAATAAAGCAGAAGATCGCGTCTCACTCTCATGGAAATCTTCCGCTTGATTTTCGAGGATTACCGTCCAACGGGTAGAGATCTGAAAGTTTTGGCCATTTGTTTATTATTTTGGTATTTAAGACAACGTCAAAATAAAAAGGATTTATTTGAATTAATCATTAACACCCGGTTTCTGAAAGGCTTGGCAACGCTAAAATTAAGTAATCTCCTGTTAAATCTCTTGTCAAGTCATCTGGTTGGTTGTTGATAATTCAGTCAACCAATCAGATGACTTGACAAGAGATTAAATTGATTTTAACATTGATCGGCCTTTCGGAAACCGGTATAAGTCGCCGGTTTATAAATATCAATGTTGAATTCTTTAGATCCTATATGCTAGAAGCACTGTCTGTTTGTCATACATGGAACTTATTGGTCATTGATCGTATTAAGTTAAGATTGTTAGCAGAGAAAACATGTTTTTCAAATATTCAACGACAAAGAGCCTTTCCAATAATCAAAATTCTCTAGTTAAGAATTTTCGTTGTAAATTCAAATAGGACATTCTTATTGGTTGATTGAAATCACACAACTAGAGAGATAGGGGCATCTACTTACTGCCTTCCTTTAAAGAAAATGATGAAAAGTTTGAATCTTAAATATTTGTTGACAGTTCATTCATTCATTCATCCAACCGATGCTATGAAATTGCCAAAAAACCGAAGTACGCCAATTGTCTATACTAATAAGGTAATCTTTACAACCGCTTGTCGGATTACCTACCAAAATTCTTTAAGTGTCGATAGCTACAATGTACCTGAGTGCTATAGGTTATAAAACATCACGCTAAGATCAAATGGAGCAGCAGGTGAAACCGAGAGTAGCTAGTTTTTCAATAAACTATGGGCTTTCTACCAGCCAAAACAGCTCTAAAAATTAAATTAACGTTTTCATACCTGTATAGTTTCATAATCAAAACTCTCTCCAGGATCCTTGGAAGGTCCTTTCGGAACCCATTTTTCTAACCAGATATCCATTCTACTCATATTCTGTTTATCACTTATGTTCAATTTTTTCTCGTAAGCTTCAGATAAGAATGGTCCAGTCAACTTTACTAAAACTGAATGCTTATTTCGGTCATTCTGAATGAGGTATTCTGGAAAAAGAGATATTTTTAAATTAATTTTAGGCACGCTGTTTTGACTGACCAAGTCAGAAAAAATCTTTAAAAAAAACCTTCTAGGAGTTTGTTCTTTCTTATTGGTGATTGCATAGAATCTACAATTGTGTCAAACATATTTATCCTATTACTGGTTAAACGCCTTTTATGAAAAGAAAAGGTGGATATCGAAGAAGCTATGTAAAGTATTATAAATCATTTTTGTATGACCGGGTAAATGATCAGACGGATTGGCTGATCCGTGATTAATAAAATTGAGTTATGCTTTTAATTGTAAGTTTCTTACCCTTGATTTGTCCAGGAGCAATCGAAGAATGTCTTGTAACTTCTTCCTTTTCATTGTGCATTAAGAATACCGCTGTGAAAAATATCCACACCCCGACCAAAAGGGAAACCTTAATCGTTTGCCTAATTTGTGATATCTGTTGAGTTAGTCAAATTATTATAGTTGAGTAAATTAGGAGCTAAAATAACTTCAATAGACTAGACAGTTGGCAAGATAGCTGGACAACCGGCAGCGCCCACCGTGCCGCGAGTGCGATTTGTCTTTATTCGAACCACGAATTATTTTAATTTAATTATAAAGACACCTAAATGCTACAGAACAGATGACAGAAAACTAACCTATTATTTCGATAGAACGCAATTTTTTACTACTATGTATTAAAAGAATGGAGTTAGGTGATATTTGTTCGGACGAAGTACTCGAAAAAATGATAAGCAAGTGAAGAAATATTTTATACTTACTTTTGATTTTGTTTTTGAAGTGGGCGAATCATCGGAACTGTAAAATAATAAGGTCATATTTTGTATCACAACTGTCTGAATCACAGAGTGGACGTATAACAAAGACTTCTGAGTAAAGGTCAGTTCACACCAAAACGCAAAAACAACTTTATATTGCACACGACAAGGTATAAGATTCATGCGATTTCTCTGGCGACAGATACTTCACTGACCTATTACAATATCGTATTAATTAGCGCGTGTCTCGATGTGAATTGGCCCTTAAGAGTTCATCATAAGTAATAATATTTTTTTTTATAGCCTATTGTGTGTCCCACTGCTGGGCAAAGGCCTCCCCTTTTTCCTTCTAAACTTCTCTGTCTAGAGCGATCTCCGACCAAGTTTGCCCCGCAAACATGATCAGATCGTCACACCACCTTCGTCGTGGTCGACCTCCTTCAGGTGTCCAGTGAGTGACAATCTTCGCCCATCTGTCCGAGTGCATTCGTGCGACGTGGCCAGCCCACTCCCACTTCAGCCTGGCAGTTTTTTCTCCGACATCTGCTATTTGAGTTATGGAGCGCAGCGTGGTGTTTCTATGTGTGTGTGTCGATGAATATATACGTACTTAGGCCAGATAATATCGGTGCTCAAAGTTGGTCACTTACTGACCAGCAAAAGCCCAAACTTAAGATTTGTCAAAGGGCAATGGAGCGAAGCATTTTAGGTGTTAAGCGAATGGATCGCGTTAGAAGTAATAATATAAAAAATATAAATACTCACTCATTAATACCAAACTTTTCGTTACCTCCTTGCACCTCACTCTGTCCATTAAGAAAAGAGACGTCATCTTTTTGTCCGTTACAATTCAAATGTGGAGCTGAATTTGCTGAGGGTAGTCGTTGTGTTAATATTGTGTTATTTGTAATTCCTCTTTGTTCATCTCCTGTAAATTATAAAAAAAATATACCTATATAATTGTATTTTAACCTGCGCCGTTTTGAAATTGATGGCTTTGTTGATTACGCTGGTTGTTGTAGCTACGTTACATTTTATGAATGACGTCACAAATCATACATCAAGCAAGGAAAAGAAATCCTAACATCCAACCATCCAACTGTTGGGCCAGTAGCATGCCAGACATGATCGCCTCGCGACGCGTGGTCAGAGGAATCTTGCTTTTCCAATGTTTCCAACTTCACTCACTGTTACCTAAATTACAACGAAGCTACGTTTGTTAAGAGTAGAACGTTATATTTGAAACGACGGGTTTGAATAATACTCGTAAAACATATTTTTATATTGGGCAGTCTATTTGTTTATAAAATACCGGAGTGAGTAGGTAAGTAGTTTTTTTTTATGTAATAGGTCGGCAAACGAGCAGACTGATTGGGGAGGGATCAGGGGAGGGGGAGGATTGGGCCTTAGGTAACCTCACTCACACATCGAAACAAAACGCTGTGGTTGTTTTACGCCAGTTTACTGAGAGGTCGTTATTTTCAGTAAATTTTGAATCTCCTAAAAAAGTCACTATTCACAAAAGAACAATATCATTTTTTAAGAAGGTACTCGTACCTAATCCGATCTGTATAAGAAGACATTAACGTGCATCGTACAAATTACACGTCAAAACGGAATATGCCAAATCGGTAAAGATGCTAAATCGTGTATCCACACTTTTATTTGCATAAATATCTCTATAAGGTGCTACCTTATAAGGAGGAAACCTTTTTAGGAAGTGATGTGTGAGGGGGGAAGGAATTTTTGGAGCTAAATATTTAGTTACGCGTTAACACTGGATTTTCTAAAATGGTTATGTTAACAAATAAATCACATGAAAATGTAAAGTTTACCTTTATAGCTTGGATAGTCTTATAAATCAATTTTAGTCAGTTACGTTACGTCTAAAAAACCCTAATTCAACTACAATGAAATCGTCGTATGAAGGTAAGGAAGGACAATTTATATTTGTGTGAAATAGCCATCGCCATAATTTCGCTCAAATGCGCTGATTCGACCAGATTGATACTATGACTTCACAGAAACCAGTCCCCGTAGCTACGGATGACATGTATGACCAAGACCTCCAAAATTAGCGCCCACATAGGGGGCTAGTGGGGGCTTTGGCTTACAACTTCCTTAAGTGTGGGAGAGCCATGCTTAGGCACGAATGGGTCGGCTCGACCATACTGATACCAGGGCCACACAGAAAACCGGTGTGGAATAACAACAGAGTTGTGTTTTGCCGTGGGAGTGAGGTTACCGGAGGCCCAATCCTTCCCCTACCCCGATTCCTCCCCAATCCCAAAATCTCTAAAACCCTAATCCCTAAAAGGTCGGCAACGCACTCGTAACTCCTCCGTTGCGGGTGTCCATGGGCGGCGCTGATTGTTTACCATCAGGTAATTCGTTTGCTCGCTTGCCGACCTATTACATAGTCCATTTTATGTATAATACATAATTCTTACCATGTTCCTTTTCCCACTTGCTTCGAAAGATTTCCCACGAAGAATCAGCCCTCACTTCATCAGGGAGTTCCAGCCACAACTGAACTGCTTCCACGGTCACGTCGGTAGCTACCAGTGAGTACTGGGATCGAGACAACTCCTCGGTTGGAGAACGGGTGCTGAAAGTCTTCCGAATTCTGTCCATGGTTTATTTCCTCGTGGCGATTCGGTGGTAGAACTGTGAACAAAAAAAATTGTCTTCTGCAGATTTTTGGTTTAAAAACTATCTTATGTCCTTTCTCGAGACCCAAACTATGTCTGTACCAAATTTCACACAAATCGGTTCTGTAGTTTAAGCGCGAAGAAAAGACAGACAGACAGAGGTACTTTCGCATTTATAATATTAGTTTGGAAGTTTGGATTGCAAATCGAGCTTAGAATTTGTTTACGAGATAATTTGTCAACATGCGAGGTTTGCTACGGAATTATTTTGTCAACAGCATAATTTGCCCAAAACAGACTTTCACTAACACCCGAAAGGCCGATCAATGTTAAAGTCAATTTCTTGTCAAGTTATCTGATTGGTTGACTGAATTATCAACAACCAATCAGATGACTTGACAAGAGATTTAACAGGAGATTAGTTAATTTTAGCATTGACAAGCCTTTGAGAAACCGGGTGTTAGTATAATGGTAGCTGTGTTCTGTGTTATGTGAGACTAATTTTTCTGTGGATATGTTTTTCCTAGTATATATTTTAGAATAGATGCCAAAATCATCATTATCATTATCATCAGCCCATAAGGGTCTACTTCTGAGCAAAGGCAAAAGCCTTTACGAGAAGAGTCTCGCACAGAAGTTTAAGCACTAAGCATTACACTAACTATAGGCGGATCTGCGGTTTTAAACTTATGATTGGATGTTATAAGGTCGGGTTTCCCCAGGATATTTAGCTGTGCTATCACATAAAACGTTGGTCCTGCAGTACCAACGACGCAGTTGTACGTGTCCCGTCTACATCACACCACGACGGTTTAGCAGATCGTGGAGTATGTCCGATCCAAGACCAACTGGAGCTTGAGGGTGTCGAAGTTGGAGTCGCGCCACAATACGAACTTTAATTCGTTCATGGTGCGAGTTCCAACTCATTACGTCGAGACAGACATTCCTCAAGGAAGAGTTTTGGCCGAAGGACGTCGTATATCGGAGGTTCCGAGGATGGCTACGCGACACCACGCAGCGTAACACGACGCCGACACTTCGTGTGCATTAGTTTTTAAGTTATCTATGTAACATATATATTAGTTTATGATTTAATGTTATAATATATTTATGTATTGTATTCTCTATGGGCCTTAGATGCCTGACTTAAATAAATAAATAAAAAAAAATAAAAAAATAAAGAAATACTGCCTCAAGTAAGGCGTTCCACTGCAAAAAATTTTATGCTTTTTGTATAACCCTGGTAACTAAATACTGTGACCATCGATCACTAATAAAGAACTTATTAGTGATCGATGACTGTGACATACAAAGACAAGAAATGACTAATGATGACGTCATAACACAATGAAAAATCCCTAGACTTTTGTTCTTAACTTGTTAGTCGTGACTTTGCCTGGCTTTTGAAATGAGTGCTCTCGCTTTGGGTGGGGAGAGAGGGAGTGTCAGACTCTTACTTGACTAAAAAACCTCCATGTTCCTTCTTCTGCTCTGGGCCGAGACCAAGGTGCCTAATTGCGCTTGCCTCGCGACTCCAACTGAACATCAGCCCTATAAGGCCCAGTGGCATAATCTAACTTAGGGTCTGCATTTTTGAATGCCGGCAAAATACTTTGCACCTACTGGGTCAGTGGCCAGTCTTAGATACGTTAATAAATTCCTTTTATATCCGTAACCCTCTATCTATATTGTTACTTATATTAAATGTCATTAATCCCATAATTTAACACGACACTACCACAATCAGTTTAGTCACAATAAATTGTGTAAACATTACAATTACTTGCTATTTATTGGAAATTTATTGATTGTGATAATTCTAAGTTGTTTATTTATATACTAGCGACCCGCCCCGGCTTCGCACGGGTGCAGTACTGATACTAAATGTCACCACTATTTTATGGATATTGTTATACATATAAAACTTCCTCTTCAATCGCTTTAGCTGTTTAAAAAAACCCATCAAATCCATTGTGTGGTTTTAAAGATTTAGGCATATACATAGGGTTATATTCCTACAGGACAGAGAAAGCGACTTTGTTTTATACTATGTAGAATAACCGAAAACTTGTGAATTAATTTATATATTCCTATATAATAATATAATAAGTAAGGTCTGTCTTACCCCTAGACGGTATTTTAAATTATACGGTACGGTATTTGAAATTCACACAAATGGCGGGAGTCGATGAGTTTTTTTTTCTTGATGCGTCAATAATCGTGTGCGTTCTGCCACGAGCGAACGCTAACTGGCCTTCCGATACCTACTAACAAGAAGAAAATTACCTATGTATTTTTATCTGTCCCACAATAAAAGCGTACCTATTTGTGACAAAGTAGGTCTATGTTTGTTTACAATAGTTACTACTACAAAGTGCTAATGACCTTTGCGAAAATTATTCCAGTTGCCTTTTTAGGTTATTTTTATAGTAATTGATATTTAGTAATATGATTACATAATGTTATATATATAGGTATAAGGCTATTAGGATTGACCTTCACGCCATGTCTATTTTTTTAATGACGTTTGAATTGAGAATTAGGTACTGTTTGTAAAAAGTTGAACGATATTATGTGGACAAGCACAACAAATAGCGTAGCGTCTGCGCAACGTTACGCTACGGTAACGTCGAGTTCAGCAAACGTTAATGCTCACCTGGCGACGACGCCGAGCTAACGCGACGTTGACGTCAACGCTAGTAAAACGCCTGGTGGGATGGCGGCCTAAAACAAAGACGCTTTCTCTGTCCCTATATCCCTATGTAGGTATGCTTAAATTTTATAAACTACGCAACGGATTTTGATACGTTTGTTTAATAGATATAGTGATTGAAGAGGAAAATGAATGTGTAATTGTGTACAATAACATCCATTAAACAGATGAGAAATGTAGTACCTATCAGCATTGCACCCGTGCGTGCCGATAGTAACAATGCAGCAGGAATAACTTTAGAATGGTGGGGGTAGGGAGGAGGGGGAAGATGTCCCCTACCCCCCAGTACCACTCCCATGACAAGGCAATGCACCGTTTCCGAGAAAAACGATTTTTTGTAACCTAACCTCAAAACACTAAAACGTCACTTAATAGGCAAAGTCGGCGGCCTGCGGCACGAAACTAAAGTCAAGCGCCAGAATTCACCAATGAAAAACCCATCGACGTTCGCCAGCTGCTTAGGTACCATCAGGTGATCGTTCCGCGCATTTCCCTTGTTTCATAAATCTTAATTGGCCGCTTAAATGCACTAAAGATATCCACATAGATTACTGTCTTATCGTTTCATTTAAGATCGTAAAAAAATAAAACACGTAACAAGTATTGTGAATGTCAAAAATTAAGCATTTAATTGTTCAAGAATTTTTATGATTTTCTATTGAAGTTTCTTATCATATCACAAGGAGAAGTTTTGAGCATTAATCACCAGGCTAGATCAAGACGTGTCAACTACCGATTTCAAACTTATAATTCGAAATTATAAGTTCAGGTTTCTTGAAGCAGTTGTGCTCGCAATAGGCGCGGGTCTGCGGACGGCGAGTGAGTTACTGTCTGCCCGACCAGAATGTTGGCGGCGTTTAGTAGGCTGATGTTTCGCCGGGGTTGCGGGGTAAGCGCAATGAGGCACTGCGGCCTCGACCTAGAGCAAGAGAAGGAACGGGGGCGTTTTAGTCAGTAAGAGACTGACACTTCCTCTCGCCTCACCCTGGGCGGGTGACATTTTGATGATGCATTTCCAGAAAAAAGGTTTCTTCACGAAGTTTTACTTCACCGTAGGTATGTCAATTGTCTCCAAATAGGTAATGCTAGAAAATAACCAATTATAACTTGGAAAGAGCCACATTACTAGTTACTTGCCAGGTTTCAAAATCAATGCTCATGCATAAGAAGTTTGCGTCTTAATCATGAAACATGGCCTTTACTCTGTCACCGAGAGAACCCTCAAAATTGGGCAATGCTAATTATGTAGTTCTTTGGTGTTACCCATGGGCGGTGCCGATTGCTTATCACTAAAATGTGTCCCCCATCACCTTTCTACCATCAGACGACCCGGCGAACGACGGCGGCGACGTAAGGCGGGCATCCTTATACTGTTGAACCCTCTACCATCCGGTCTAAGCGTTTCGCTTCGTCGTTTATACCACGCACGTGGTACGTACTGCACGAGCTGCTGTTTACATGTTAACATTAGCTCATGACGATACCTAAGTACGTGTGTCGCCTGGACAGTCAACCTCGCTACATCCTTGTTGACTGGACATCTACACTACATGAGCTGCTGTTTACATGTGAACATTAGCACATGACGATACCTAAGTACGTGTGTCGCCTGGACAGTCAACCTCGCTACATCCTTGGTGACTGGACATCTACACTTAATGAGCTGTTGTTTACATGTGAACATTAGCTCATGACGATACCTAAGTACATGTGTCGCCTGGACAGTCAACCTCGCTACACCCTTGTTGACTGGACATCTACACTACATGAGCTGCTGTTTACATGTGAACATAAGCTCATGGCGATACCTAAGTACGTGTGTCGCCTGGACAGTCAACCTCGCTACATCCTTGTTGACTGGACATCTACACTTAATGAGCTGCTGTTTACATGTGAACATTAGCTCATGACGATACCTAAGTACGTGTGTCGCCTGGACAGTCAACCTCGCTACATCCTTGTTGACTGGACATCTACAGTACATGAGCTGCTGTTTAAATGTGAACATTAGCTCATGACGATACCTAAGTACGTGTGTCGCCTGGACAGTCAACCTCGCAACATCCTTGTTGACTGGACATCTACACTACCTACATGAGCTGCAGTTTACATGTGAACATTAGCTCATGACGATACCTAAGTACGTGTGTCGCCTGGACAGTCAACCTCGCTACATCCTTGTTGACTGGACATCTACACTACATGAGCTGCTGTTTACATGTGAACATTAGCTCATGACGATACCTAAGTACGTGTGTCGCCTGGACAGTCAACCTCGCTACATCCTTGTTGACTGGACATCTACACTACATGACA